ATCCACAAGTTATGGGACTTGAACCACTGTCGACTACATGGGAGTCCAGTGACATAGCCGTTACACCAACTGCTGATCTCTTTATATATTTTATATATTTTTATATATTTTTATATATTTTTAATTTAGCCATTCTGACTGGGATTAAGTGGTATCTCATTGTGGTGTTGATTTGCATTTTCCTTATGATAAGAGATGTTGAGCATTTTTTCATATGCTTTTTGGTCATTCGTATGTCTTCCTTGGAGAATGTCTATTCGGCTCATTTTCCCATCTTTTGATTGTATTGATTACTATTTATTTGAAGGTAAGCTAATTGATTTCCCTGTATATTCTGGTTAAAGTCCTTATCTAAGGCACAGTTTGAGAATATATTCTTCCACTCTGAAGGTTGTCTCCTGACTTTAATTATTGTTTCTTTTGCTATGCAGAAGCTTTTTAGTCTGAGGAAGTCCAACTTGTCTGTGCTTTACGCGTGTTCTTTAAGAAGTCTTTGCCTACTCCCACGTCCCTGAGAATTTTCTCTGATGCTTGTTTTGTGCCCTGTTTTGTGGTTGATTTTCTAAAACTTGCCATGTGGGGGTGATAAAAATGTGTATTTTGTGTTTTTTTTGGTATAATGTTCTATAGATATCTGTCAGGTTTATTTGATTTGTGGTATGATTTAGACTTTGTATCTCTTGTTTTATCTTTTGTCTAGATGATCTGTTCATAGGAAACAAGGAAGTTTTGAGTTCCCCAATGATTAGTTTGTTGTAGTGTACCTCTCTCTTTAGATCTAGCACTCGGTCTTTTATGTATTTGGGTGCTCTAGTGTTGACTGCATACATATTTATGTGTTATATCTTCTTGGTGAACTAGTCCTTTTAATAGTACCGATATATACTGTCCTTTGTTTCTTCTTAGTGTTCCTGTCTTAAGAGTCTGTTTTGTCTGATATCAGTACCGTGGTTCCAGGCTCTTTTTGCTTTCCTTTTGTATGTAATATTTTTTCCAGCCCTTAAGTTTTAGTATATGCATATCTTTAACAGTGAAGTGTGTTTCTTCTAAGCAGCATATCGAGGTCTCCTATTTTTTTTAAATCTATCTAGCCAGCCTGTTTTTTTATTATTTTTGGAGAGGCTTTTACTGTAGGGCGCATGCGCTCACCAGACAGACAGAGACAGAGAGACAGAAAGAGAGAAATCACCCCCAAGGGGGATGGTCATGCCGTAATCCCTTCTCCTCCATTCTCCTCTCGGGATCTTGGGCACGCACGCACATGCGCCTGGCGTGTGTTTTAAGCCACCGGGTCCAGGATGCGAACCGTGGTCAACTACATGGGAGTCCAATGACATAGCCATTACGCTAACTGCTGGTTCCTGCCAGCCTGTGTTTTTAATTAGAGAATTTAAGCCATGAACATTCAATGTTATTATAGATATTTGCAGACTTTTCCTTGCCATTTTGTTAGCTATTTTCATGGATTTTTTTTTGTTCTCTTATTTCTGTTTTTCTCTCTTTAGTTTTCCTGGTGTAGTCCTTCCTTCAGTACTTCTTTTCTTTTTTTTTTTTGGAGAGGTTTTTCGTTATAGGGCGCGTGCGCTTGCCAGACAGACAGAGAGAGACAGAGAGACAGAAAGTGAGAAATCACCCCCTGGGGGGATGGTCATGCCGCAATCCCTTCTCCTCCGTTCTCCTCCATTCTCCTCTTGGGATCTTGGGCATGCACACACATGCGCCTGGCGTGAGTTTTAAGCCACTGGGTCTGGGATGTGAACTGCGGTTGACTACGTGGGAGTCCAGCGACATAGCCATTACGCTAACTGCTGGTTCCCTTTCCTTCAGTACTTTTTCTTTTTTTTGGAGAGGTTTTTGCTACAGGGCGCATGCGCTCGCCAGCCAGACAGAGAGAGACAGAGAGACAGAAAGCAAGAAATCAACCCCCAGGGGGGATGGTCACGCCGCAATCCCTTCTCCTCCGTTCTCCTCCATTCTCCTCTTGGGATCTTGGGCATGCACACACATGCGCCTGGCGTGAGTTTTAAGCCACTGGGTCTGGGATGTGAACTGCGGTTGACTACGTGGGAATCCAGCAACACAGCCATTACGCTAACTGTTGGTTCCCTCCTTCAGTACTTCTTGAAGAGCTAGTCTACTATTTGTGAATTCTTTCAGTGTTTATCTTAGAATGATTTTATTTGTTCTTTCCATTTGAAGGATAATCTTGCTGGGTATTGTATTCGTGGTTGAAATTGTTTTCCTTTCAGTGCTGTAAATATGTCTCCTGTTCTTTCCTTGCCTACATCCTATCAGTTGAAAGGTCTGATGTTAGCCTAATAAGATAACTTTTGTAAGTAGCTTGGCATTTCTCTCTTGCCATTTTTAGAATATTGTCTTTGTCTTTGATTTTTAACAATTTGGCTATGATGTTAAGGCCATGGGAAGGATCTTTTTATGTTATTCTATTTAGAGTTGTTTTTATGTCTTGGGTTTGAATTTCTCTGTTTCTCTAGATATGGGAAGGGGGTGTAAAAAGGAGTATTATATTTATAAATAAATTTTAAAATAACTGTAATAGAGACTAATTTAAGATGTCACTGCACAGGTCACCTGGTACCTGTACTACACAGTTAATTGGTAACTAACTTAGTAAATATAACTCTAAGAGCAACTCCCAACAATTTGTTTCTAAGCCCCACCAGTGCTTGATTATTTTAGACACATTTCTTAATCTCTCTGAGCTTGTTTTCCCTTGTATAAAACTGGGATAATATGTATATCATGTGTTTATTTTGTCAATTAAAACGGGAAAAGGTAAGCACCTAACACAAATCTTGTCATTTTGTTGGCAAGCTATTAAATATTGACCTTTTTTGCTCTTATAGCAACAGAAGGCAGAGAATCCAGAGGATGATCCCCCCTCCACTTCCTTAGTGGAAACATTACTAGTAACCACAGTAATATTTGGGAACTATTTTACCTGCTATCTTGTACAACTGAAACAATGAGTCTTAAGTTTCTCTATGCCTCAGCCCACTGGCAGGGGTTACTTGCTTGAAATTGCACTACCATTATGCCTACTGCTGTGATTAACATCAAGTAAGTAAAGTCTGTCTTGATGTACATGGCATGACAGAATCCTGCTGCAGTAGTCCTCTGCCACATCTCAATACTCAGTGGTAGAGGTTAACCCAATATAAGCTCATTTCTTTTCTTCTTTTTTACTTACATATTTATTTTAAAGAGGTTTTTCCCTTAGGGCATGTTTTCTTGTCAGAGAGAAATAGAGACAGTGAGAGGGAAAGTGAGAAATCCCCTCCCACTCCCCCTACCTCAGGAGAGATAGCCATGCTGCAATCCCTTCTCCTCCATTCTCTTCCAAGGATCTTGGGCATGAATGCACCAGATCTGGGAATCGAACTGCTGTCAGCCATGTAGGAGTCCAGCGACATAACTGCTGTGCCATCTGCTGGCCTCTATTTACTTATTAATTTAATAGTTCATCACTTTATATCATCACCATATACCAAGTGAGATGACTCATTCTCATTAGAGTATCAGGTAGATTTTATCTCTCTTGAAGACCAAGTTTAGGTATGATTGACCTAAAAGGGGTGAAATCAAGAAAGGGGAACCTGTTTTACCATTGGTGTAGAAATTATGTATTAAAAGTTTCACATTGTCTCAGGTCATTTCCCTATGAAATGTCTTCTGGCAAGTGATTGCATTTTGTTTCTTACTAGAAACTTTGCATCTGTATAGTCAACTTGATGGTAATGAATGTATGATATTATTAAACTCTGAAAGTGTTAGGAAATAATTTTGAGCTGGTGTGGGTTTCTACTTGTATAAGTTTTGCTTTTTTCTTTCTAGATTTTTCCCATAAGATGTATGTGCTCACCACAGACAGAGACAGTGATAGGTAAAGTGAAAAATCACCCCTCAAGGGAATGACTGCACCACAGTCCTTTCTCCTCTATTCTCCTCCTGCGATCTTAGGCATGCGTGTACATATGCCTAGCATGATTTTCAAGCCACCAGGTCCGGGACTTGAACCAGTGTCAGCCATGTGGGAGTCCAGTACCTTTACCACCATGCCACCTGATGGCCCCTGAACATGTTTTTTGAAGAGATATTTTTGCTATAGGGTGCATGTACTCACCAGAGAGACAGAAAGCAATAAATCACCCCTCAGGAGTGATGGCTACACTGCAGTCCCTTCTTCCCTCTCCTCTCCATATTTTGAGCTCACACGCACATGTGCACAGCATGAGTTGTAAGCTGCTGGGTCTAGGACTTGACCCATGGTCAGCTACATGGAACTCCAGCAACGTAACCATTATGCCATTTGCTGGTCCCACAATATTAATTTTTCTAACCCATGAGCGTGGGATGTCTTTACATTTTTTTGTGCCTTCACTTTATTTCATCTGTGTTTTATAATGTTCATTGTAGAGATCTTTTGTGTGTGTGTGTTTTTTTTTTGGGGGGATGTTATGTTTTCACTATAGGGCATGTGCACTCGCCAGACAGACAGAGAGAGACATAGAGACAGAAAGCGAGAAATCACCCCCCAGATGGTCACGCTGCAATCCCTTCTCCTCCATTCTCCTCTCAGGATCTTGGGCACATACGCACACGCGCCCGCGTGAGTTTTAAGCCACCGGGTCCAGGACGCGAACCACAGTCGACTACATGGGAGTCCAGTGACTTAGCCATTACGCTAACTGCTGGTTCCCAAAAGGGGAACTCTTATACATTATGGGAGGAATGTAAATTAGTAGCCTTATGGACTGTAAGATGAAGGTCCCTCAAAATTAAAACTAGAACTACCATATAGTCCAGTAATCTCACTATTAGGGACATGTTCAAAGAAAAGGAAATCAGTGTGTTGAAAAGATACATGCACGCCTATGTTTACTGCGGCATTATTCACAATGGTTAAGGCATGGAATCAACCTAAATGTCATCAGTGGATAAATGGGTAAAGAAAATGTGGTATACACGAATTATGGAATAGTCTTTAGTCATAAAAGGGTGAAATCCTGTCATTTGAGGCAAAATGAATGAGCTTGGAGCACATTGTATTACATGAAATAAACTATGTACAGAAGAAGAAATATGGAAGAAACGTTTTTATCTTATAGAAGAAGAAAGTACAATTGTGGGGGCCAGCAGTTGGCGTAATGGCTGTGTCGCTGGACTCCCATGTAGCCGAACGCGGTTCGAGTTCTGGACCCAGTGCCTTAAACTTAGGCTGGGCACGTGTGCATGCATGCCCAAGATCTGGAGAGGAGAATGGAGGAGAAGGGATTGCAGCATGGCCTTCCCCCCTGGGGGGGGGGGATTTCTTGCTTCCTGTCTCTCTGTCTCTGTCTTTCTGGCAAGTGGACGTGCCCTATACCAAATCCTCTCCAAAAGAAAAAGAAAGTATAATTGTGATTACCAGAGCTGGAAAGGGTACAGAGGAGGAGAGGATAGGGAAATATTTATTTATTAATGGTCACAAAATTAGTTAAGAATAAATTTTAGGTTTCTAAAGCATAGTAGGTGACTATAGTTAACAAAAATATATCGTACATTTTAAGGTAGCTATAAGAGAATGTACCCAACATAAAATAACAATAAATGTATGTGGTAATTAATATGCAAATTACCCTGATTTGAGCATTACACATTGTAATCATATTCCAAACTTGCACTGTACTACAGAAATAAGTACAGTTATTATGTATCAGTTAATTTAAAAATTATAAATTTCAAAACTAAATGTTAAGTATACTCAAGAACAACTAGGAACTTTTACTTATTTTCTTGTTTGGTTTGTAATTGTTTTTTTAAATCAGAGACCATCCTATGAAATATTGAAATACGATGAATTGATTTAGTAAAAAAGAATATCTGTGATGCAAAATAGCTAATACAGAAATGATCCAGTAACATTATAACTAAACAGTACTGGGTGGTCATCTAAATGGATATTGAAATCACACAAAATGTTGACAGGATATGGAAAAGAGGAGGAGAGATAGTAACCCAGGTGCCAGGTCTACCCTGAAAATTAGAGTGATAGATGTCTGCTTTAAGGAGTAGTAAAGGGTGATATAACTGTTTTGTATGTATTCAAAGGACAGTGTTCTTTTCCATAGGTGATTTCTCACTATCAGTGTAAAGAACAACGTGATGTCCATAGATTTGAGAAAATCAGCAACATCATTAAGCAGTTCAAGCTGAGCTGCAGGTAAGAGATGTTACAGGTGTACTCTATTTATCTCTGGAGAAATAAATCATCATTTTTGAGAAATTCAAATAACTAGTTGACTGCACTTGAATGTTCAGGATAGTTCTTCAAATAAAAAACTTTTATCTCAGGATGGAAGGTGGCACAGCAATAAAAAAAGTTTATCTAATAAAAGAAAGACGAGTAGGTACCAGAGACTGGGAAGGGTCAATTGAGTAGATATTGGGTAACAGACACAAAATTAAAGTTAAAAAGGAAGAATAAATTCTTGTTTCTATAACACAGTAGGATGATTGTAGTTAACAGTAACATATTGTATATTTAAACATAACTATAAGAGAGGATTTTGAATGTACCCAACATAAAGTAATAATAAGTGTTCAAGGTGACATATATGCTAATTACCCTGACTCGGTCAGTACACGCTGTTCAGCTACTGAAAAATCACACTGTGTCCCATAAATAGGTACAATTATTATATGTCAATTTATAGAAGAAATGAACGCAAGCTAAATTTTAGGCAGTCTATAACTGTCCTCAAGGCAAATTCAGCTTATGCAAGAAGAAGCATATGAGAAATATCTAAGCAGAATACCCTTTTCAGATATATGACTTTGAGGAAAAATAAATAGAATATTAAAAGAGTTTTGAAAAAGAAGGAAGAGAATTTGACCTACTAATATCAAAATTTACTATAAAACAACAATAATTAAAATAGTGATGGGGGCCAGCAGGTGGTGTGGTGGATTAGGTGCTGGACTTCCTCATGGTTGAACACAGTTTGAGTCCTAGACCAGGTGGTTTGCTTTCTTTCCCTTTCTCTCTCTCTGGTCAACTTAAAAAATAATATTAAAAAACTGGAATTAAATAATAATAAATGGGGGGAACCAGCAGTTAGCGTAATGGCTATGTCGCTGGACTCCCACATAGTCGACCGCGGTTCGCGTCCCAGACCTGGTGGCTTAAAACTCACGCCAGGTGCATGTGCGTGCGTGCCCAAGATCCCGAGAGGAGAACGGAGGAGAAGGGATTGTGGCGTGACCATCCCCCCTGGGGGGTGATTTCTCGCTTTCTGTCTGGGGTGGGGCTGTGTGTGTGGGGTGTGATTTCTCACTTTCTGTCTCTCTGTTTCTCTCTTTCTGGCGAGCGCACGTGCCCTATAGCAAAAAACGTCTCCAAAAATAATAATAATAATAATAATAATAATAATAAATGGAATTAAATAAACAAACAATTATTTTTAAAAATAGTGAGGTACTGATTCAGAAATGGTACAAGAAAGAGAGTTTAGAAAGTCTAATCATATAATGCCAGCTTTGATTAACTAAAATTTAAATCTTAGCATAGTTAGTCTAGGAAGAAGGAATGACTGAATATTATGAGTTGACAAAAATTTTGATGCCCGGACAGTAGGCAAATGTTTATTCCCTTTATGACCTACCACACTTTGAGACTTTCTGGCGTATTTATGCTTACAGTTTTAAGAAGAAAAAGCAAATGACAGGCAAATGTAGTTTAATGTGTTTTTGAAGACATGAGATTGTTTCTTGGACTTAAAGTTAACATTGAAAAGATAGAGGTATTAGTCTCACTGATAGGGAAATTTCAACTGAAGACATTTCTTAAATATCTGAGAAGTCTTTTGTAACATGATTTTCAACACAGAACTAGATCTAAGTCTATTTCTAGTTCACAATCAGTATCAAATCTTAACCCACTTTCTGTTCCAGTCATTTTCCAAAACTTGTTGAATTCTGTATTAGGGTTTCCTTAGAAAGCAAAATGGATTTACTAATTAACCATCTTAAGGAAGTGGCAAATTGAAAAATAATAATATGAAAATGTCTGACATGAAGGTAAGAACTTCTCATAATGTTATTTTTTACAATTTTTAACCACTTTTATCTTTTTTCCTATAGCAAGCTGGCTGCTTCTTTCCAGAGTATGGAAGTCAGGAACTCTAACTTTGCTGCTTTCATTGACATCTTTACATCTAACACTTATGTGATGGTCGTGATGTCTGATCCATCCATACGTAAGTTTAAATTTAGCTGACTTAGGTTCAAAACCACATATTCTTTAAACAATTGCCCTATTAAATACTTAAATTGCTTTATTAAATACTTAAAAAATTATTTTGTGTTAGGAATGGTTATACAGCAAAGTAAAGGTACTTAATCCTACTGAACTATACGCTTAAAATGGTTAAAATGATAAATTTTGTTATGTGTATTTTCCTACAATAAAAACTGTTTTAGCACTAATGGTAAATAGATTTTTTAAAATAGACTTGTATTTTGAAGGTCAAAAATAATTTAACTTCTAGGATATTATGTTTTCCCTCATGAGAACTTAAGAAAGAAAATAACTAAATCCAGAAATTTTAAAGAAAAGAAAACTCAAATCCATGCGTTATAGGTTTTTAAAACGCTAGTGAATCTAATCTCTAAACTATTAAATACTAAACCATTTGATATGTCATTGCGTATTCCTATGTACCATATTTCCTTATTTCTGTTATGGTCATAGAGGGACGTGTTTAGTGTTTTCACATCCTTAATAGCCATGTCTATCAAAACCATTGAAATAGAGGTTTTTGAAGTATTTATAGTATGTTCTCAGAAATTTAAATTATCTCTCATCTACTGTCTTTTCCTACTTTCAACTAATATGAGTGTAACATAAGAAAATGGTTTTATGCTATTAGCTCTAAATCAAAAAATTTTAGAAATTTTACATGTAGGATATAAACAAATCTGCTTATTCAGAATAATTAAACCTTGGTTACTTGAGAAATCCTATTCCTACATGTCCTCTATGATGTACATCAAGGGATTTGGCCTTCTTTTATTTGTTTTTACTAATCAGACATTCCTATGGCTGCCAGTACTTATTTTGTTGGGTGTTTCCCCACCCCACCCTTAGGCCAGGAAACACTTTTGAAAAGCTCGAAAGAATGGATGGATCGAAGCAGTGTCTTCTCATGCGCTAAACATTGCTGAATATTTTACACACACAAAAATGAAAAACCGTTTCTTAATGAATCTTAATGTTGTATTCATATTTGTAGGTTCTGGAATGTTGTCATGCTTACCACTTCTGTATTTCTTCTCTACTCCTCAGTCTTAACATTTAACCTTGAATGCTGTTTACTCAAATAGCCAGTGAGGTGTTTGAAGATGAGTTTTCCATGAAGTTGGTGTAACATAAATGTAGGTGATGTGTAATGTAAGTGTTCTGATAGCAAGGTTCAAATAGTGTTTTTGTGTCCATATAACCTTATTTCAACAGTTGTGTATGCGAGAGCCTTTCCTGGCATTGTCTTGTGTTTCTTGCCAGATGGTAACCTACAAGTTTAGAATATCACTGTTTTCTCAGCATGCAATAAAATATCCCTTACCTTCAATTGTAAATAAACTTTTGCTCTGAGGGATTTCAGTGCCTGTTCTTCATTTCCTTGTTTTTTTTTTTTTTTTTCATTTTTGCCCTAAGAAAGAAAACTAAATTTCACAGTTATCCTAGAAGAAGGGGACTTACAGAGAGGAAAGAATACAAAATGAAGTTAAAAGAGAAGAATGGAGCCAGATTATAGCCTTAAAACTAGGCAAAAGAGATTAGCTATATGATAGTTAATGTAATGGGAAGTGAAAAAGAATTGTAGACTTTTAATCAGTGGAATTAGGTGAAGGAAACTTTGAAAGAAAATTAATCTAGACTATATGGATGGACTGATGGCAGTTGGGGAAGTTTTGGTAGTAATCCAGGCCTGAGGTATGTTGAAAGTCTGTTCCACAATGCATCTGGAGAGGGAATGAATAAAAAGTGGAGGGAAAATAGATAGGATTGATGAACCAAATATCTTTCTTTGAGGTCTAGGAATGTTTATTATTTTTTAGAGGTTTTTGCCTTAGGGTATGTGCACTCACCAGAGAGAGAGAGAGATACAGACACACATACACACAGTGAGAGGGAAGTGAGAAAGCATCCCCCCAGGGGGAATGACCATGCTACAATCCCTCCTCCATTCTCCTGTGATTGTGGACATGCACACACATGCACCCAGCATGATTTATCAAGCAGCCGGGTCTGGGGTTCAAACCACAGTTGACCCTATGGGAGTCCAGCGACAACCACTGTACTGGTACCAAGACTGGTTAATTTTGTAGTATACACTTAACGACCTAATGGAATATACCTTTGTTATTCCAGTCAAACAGTACTACAACCTTTCTCAAGCTGAGAGTGTTATTTAACTTTATTTTCTAAGGAAAAAAATGCACTGTGAACTGCAAGAAGTGGAGTTTGATAATGCTAATTAGAATTATTCAAAGCTCTAACCTTTTCAGTTTTCATCAACAAGATAACAACACAAAAATGCTTAGGAAATTTACTACACAGTGGACTCATCTCATTTTTCCTGTGTCCAAATAATAGAAAATGATATTACAGACTATCAGTCATTCATCTTTTCTCATCTTAGTTTATTATCCCCAACAGAGGGGCAAGTAGAGGTCTTACTAAGCAGGAAAGAGCATATTTTTAGTAGCCTACATTATATAGACTAAAATTCTCAAGTCTTAAAATAACTTCGTAAAACTAATTTTTTCACAGCCATATTAATCTTTTGCAAAAGGAGTTTTAAATAAATTTTCCAGATTCTTTGTCCTGTTTGCATCTAGAAAAATAAAAATAGCAAATGAATTATTCTGTGACTAATCGGAGTCATGATTTGGTATATTCTCATTATCTTCAATATCCATGGTGAGATTTAGAAGAAGCTACTTGAAAGTGTTTTAAGGTGGATAAATATTGATACAGAGAGAGATACTAAATTTGATGAGCTCATGGGGCCAGCAGGTGGCATGGTGGTTAAGGCATTGGACTCCCACATGTCCTGTGGGAGGCTGCACACCAGTGAGTCTGCCGAGGTCACTAGGTTCCAGTTTCTCAGAAAGCAAACAATTACACAATGCCAAAAGCCATGATTGGCTCCCCTCCAAAACCTCACCTTCAAAACCTTGCTCTGATTGGCAACTAGAATCCCTCAGATTTGCATATCTGGAACCTCATGATTAGTCCAAAAGCAACCAATCATAACTCACTTTTTTACAACCAATCATAACCCACCTTTTACAACCAATCACAGCCCACCAGCATGTACATAACTGCAATGCCTGGCCCACAATCGCCAGAAGACCCAGAAGACCCTGAAGAGCTATAACACTGCATCGTCTCTGGAAGACCCTGAAGAGTTGTAACACTGCATTGTCTCCAGAAGACCCTGAAGAGTTATAACACTGTGTCATCTCTGGACGACCCTGAAGAGCTGTGACACCACGTCGTCTCTGTGCAGCTCACAATACACGGCGACCCTGAAGAGTTGTAACACTGCATCGTCTCCATGCTGTACCACGCTGCCCACAATAAACAGATGACCCTGAAGACACTGTGTCGTCTCCGTGTTGTAACACTGCGTGCGTCATCTCTGCGCTGCTCGTTCCGACTCTCACTCCTTCCCTCAGGAAACCTGTTCAACTGTGCCCCGGGTCAGGACACATGGCGCCCAGACAAGGGACCTGAGTATGAAGGATCCGGTGAAGACCACCTGAGAAAGGATGGCAGAGAATTGTCCAGGAGGGGTGGCAGAGAATCATCCGGGAGGGGACAGCAGAGAATCGTCCCGAGAAAGGATGGCAGAGAATCGTCCTGGAGGAGACGGCAGAGAATCGTCCTGAGAAAGGCCCCAGAAGACGGCAGAGAATCGTCCCGGTAAGTAACAAAAGTCACTTACTTATAAGTAATAAGAGTAATAATGGGACAGGAGCTTAGTCACCACGAACAAGAGCTTAGTCAGCATGAACTATTTGTTCAGGGCTTAAAATAAGCCCTTGCCACTATGGTTGATC